TGAACTCCGGTCTTTCTGAGTGATGATTAATTGAATCCTGACTCCAGGCCCGGTGATTTACCCATTGCACCAATATAAAGTTCTATTGTCAGATATTAAAAATAAAATTCATAATGACATTCATAATGACAGTTCTTCCAGGGCTCAATCAATGATTTTCAAGTCCGATGATTTAACTGTGCTATAGCTGCCCCAAAAGGTGACATAGATGTAGCCTGCGTTTAGAAGGACCTAAAGACCAGGACCAGGAAAGAGATAATCCCACAGCCCTGGACAGAACATATTCTGAAGATCGTGTTCCATTCAGGGCACCACGTCTTAGGGAAGGCAAACTAAGCAACCACCAATACACTGGGGAGCACCCAGAGGAAGAGGGAGCTGGACAGGGAGACTATGTCAGATGGAGGTCATGGGAAGGAAATGGAGATGCTCATCCTGGGGGTGAGAAGACTTTGGGTGGGAGGGCTTCTGCCAAAAGCTTCACTCTAGTTGGTGTGTGCTGAGCCCAGAGCTCAGCCCTGATCTCTGTCCAGAGAGGAAACCAGCTCATTCAGGCAGAATTTGCTCTTAGTGAACCCATAATGGCTCCTAGTGATTATCGCTTCCTTTTCTAGGCTCTCACACCTTTCCTTTAGTAATCCATCCTCCAATCCATTCACCTTAGCTTTGGGGCTTCAAGTCATGGGATTCTGACAGAAGAGAGGCTCCTTGAAAGAAAGGGCCTTTTCATTTCTCTCTCTGAATCCCCAGTGCCTGGCACATAGGAAGCATTTAAGAAACATCCATCATATGCTTCCACTCTCCCTCTTTTCAAAACCTGGGGTGTTTGTCCATTAGATTGTAAGCTCCTTGAGAGCAGGGACTGTCTTTTCCTCTTTTAGTATCTCTAGCACTGAGCAGAGTGCCTGGCACACAGTAGACACTGGATAAATGTTTATTGACTGACCGACTGATTGATCTCCAGTCCTTGAGCACCTCTCCTTTCCATAATGCCTCAAACAGAAACTACAGCAGCTCCATCAATCCTGAAAAGTAATGAATGGCTTTGGGGCTCGAAGATCATCGTTAAGGCCAGGTGACAAACTCTTTCTTCATTATTTTTACTTCTATCCTTTTCAGTCTAAAGATCCTTCTCATTGATGGAGAAATCATTAGTGAAATAGAAGCCATAGAATTCCGCAGCCCCCTTCTTCCCAAACCTTATATGAGAGAACTGCCTAGAATACTGATCAGGTAAGTGACTTGCCCAGGGTCATCCAGCCAATCTATCAAGTCTTGCTGACTATGAGACCGGCTCTCTCTCCACTATGCCCCACACACTCTCCTAGGAACTCATACTCTCAAAGAAGCCAGAAAATAGAAAGACATCCCATCGGTCCTTTTACCTTTTGCTCTAGAAGTTGAACAAACTTGCATTTCTTTCTGTGGACAGCTTCCGGAAGAGATACAGATATGGCTTAGCCCCTGGTGACGGGTGGGACAGCTCCTCTGCTCCCCATGCTTCCTGAACCCTAACTCTTCAGGGCTCTGCGGCTCCTTAGCTGTTACTGGCTGCTGAGGCAAACTGCCCCCAAGATGTCTTGCTAAAATATCTCGGACTCCCTGCCTCACAACTTCTGCTGATAAAAAGCCACCTACCAGCCTGCTCATACCTATGATGCTTCAGGGAGATTCAGTTGGATAAAGAGGAAGAGACCAGTTTAGAGAGAGCTCTGAATGTCAGGCTAAAATCAACAGAGTAATATTACCTGATGAGCAGGAAGAGACATAAAACTGATATATGAGCAAGACTAGTCTTGTCAGAGTGTATGAGACTGATTAAAACAGGCATTCTTAACCTGGGGTCTGTGGATAGATTTCAGGGGGTCCGTGAACTTGGATGGGGAAAAATGCATCTTTATTCTCATGAATATTTGGTTTCCTTTGCAATCCCATGTAGTTTATTTTATGGATGTAAAAGCATGACCCTGAGAAGGGGAACACAGACTTCCCTAAGACATCAAAGGGGTTCATGATACCCCAAGGTATCAAAGAGATCAGAGGGAAGGGAGAAATGTGGCAGGTGAAAGATGAAATGACTGAGGAAATAAAGGTTCGATCTTCCAAGCGTATCAATTTATTGAGCAATATATGGCAACTGCCCCAAAACTGCAGCCAGATCTCCTTAGCTTAGGCCTGGATCCTGAATACAGGGGGAGAGACTTTTTATACATGAAAAACAATTAGTCAAATAAGACCAATTGATGAAAAGGAAACAATGTAACGTTAGGTAATCTGATTTCTAGTTGGAGGAAAGATCGGGGAGTTTCCAAGTTGGGAGGGAAAGAGCAAAGAAATACAGTCCCCTGAATTCAGCAAATAAGGTGTCCCCTTCCTCCAAGTGTCTGTAAATAATCAAAGGAACATGGAAATGATAAGTGATCAATCAGTACGGGGCCGGTGTTCAGATAAGACACACGGGTTGCTTGAGATGTACAATTGTGAGAAAACTCTGTGCACAAACTTTGGATCTGAGTCTCTGGTCAGTATTACCCAGATCCTTAGTTAAGGGTCTCTGAACAACAGGTGGAAGTGGTCAAACAACACAATAAAGTTTTCTCCCAATTTCCACAACTGAATAAAGGTTTCTTAGAAGACAGAATTTGGACCAGACCCATAATTAAATAGAAAGGGAACTGAACTACTCCAGAATTGAGTCACAAGATGGAGTCCATATGGTTTACCCAATACCCACAATTAACCACTTGCTGTCCTAATCCCTTCAATTTCCTCAGAAAAATAGGTAAGAAAACCAGTTAGGAGTCAATTAGAATAACTTAAGCATAAGGTGATGATGTCCTTTATCTGGGAGAAGGGAGCGTGGTTAAGAGAGATATTCTCAAGGAAGAGTCAAAAGCAACTGGTGAGTATTTGGCTGGCTATATGGGGGTAATGAGGGATGGAGGAGAGAGAAGACCAAAGATAACTAAGTGGGAAGGGGAAGTGTTCAACCTTTTTATTAGAAATAAGGGAAGTTGAGTCAAGGACACTAAAACTGGCAAGTGGAAACTCACATTCCTATCCCTGGGCTCCCTGCTTCAAGCTGCCAGAATCACATTCGCATCAAAGGAAGGCAATGTCCAGACCCCAGGAATCCCCACTTGTCCATTGCAGTCCCTCTCCCTTCTGTACCATAACCATGAGTAAAAGTGGTGTGCAAAGCCTATAAACAATGTAGGAGGACCCAGAGGACAATGCTAAAGGGGGACCGTCCTCCCCTCTCTCCCCCGTGTGGATTCATAGAGAGTGGAGTCTGTGGTAGAGAGGTAGAGATAACAGACTTTTGGACTTAATCTAGTCCACTCTTTCACATTTTATCCACACAGTCAGTCCCTCTCCAACAATCCAGACTGTTAAACCCGTGCCTCAGTGGGTGGCTATGGCCAGACATTCATCTGGTGTCCAACCGTCTAGGACAACGCCTCTCCAAATGAGCTGGGCTGGCCCTTTGATGCCCAGCATCTATTGCTACACCCATCCTCCATGCCTCCTCAGCATAGTAGGACTCCTATTCAAAGCAGGAGAAGTCTTGGACAACCTGGTCACTTCCATACCCCGAATAGCATCAGGGAGGACTTTCGGAGAGTAAGATGGAAGATCTTGGGTTTCTGGTTCCGAAGGAGCAACATGCGTCAGCACTGAAATATAGTAGTGACAGAAAGCTAGTGCAAAGTTACACAACATTGGGAGAGTCAGACCATCCAGAAAGGAGGTGCTCTGCTCCAGGAGACCCGACCTGGCCCAAAGTGCGCAGCTCCTAGCACTGCATTTTGGGAAGGACAGTAATAAGGGGAAGAAACCAGGGTTGAGGAAGGGTCCAGAGATTAGACAGTGACCTCCTTGAAAGCAGGAACCATATTTTGCCTTTCTTTATAATCTCAGCTCTTTGCACAGTGCACATAGTAAGCACTTGAGGACCAGTTGAAGGAACTATGGATGCTTGGCCTGGAGAAGATAGTCATGAAATGGGTGTTATTGATCTCTTCAAGTATTAAAAGGTCTGTCATATGGAAGAGGGAGTCAAGGCAAGGCAACAAGCATTTATTAAGTGCCTACTATGTGCCAGGCCTTATATGCACTAAGCACTGGGAATGTAAAGCAAAGCAATTTGTACTGCTTAACCAGAGAAGCAGAAAAAAGAGCTCACAGTCAGATGGGGCCAAGGCAGCGTCCCAGGCACACTCACTTGTGTCCGAGCTCAGCTCACTCTATGGGCTTCACTCCTCCCCTTACCAGCTCTTCTCTCCTCTCCTCCCCTCCCCTCCTTCCTGCTTCCCAGCTCCCCTTTATATACGGTCTTCCCTCAGCAGGTAGGGATTATCTTGTTTGTATTTCTGTCTTCAGTGCTTAGCATAGTGCTTGACAGAGTGAAGTAATAAATAACAACAACACTTGGCATTAATATATCACTTTAAGCTTCACAAAGTGCTTTACATGTTAACTCATTTGATCATTAATTAATTTGAGCATGAATAAACTTTATATTACTGTTAAGGTTAGGGATATGCCAATGACATTGTAAAAAACAGTCTTCAAATATCTTCACAATTTCAAACAGAACAGTTTTAAAGAAGCTGTTTCCTTTATTTTAAGGAAATTTTAACAGCTTTATTCATTGAACAAAAGTTAACACTAAATGCCAAGAAATGCCTTTTGTTTTCAATCAGTGTCCCTGTCTACCATAAGACCTGGTCAAAAAGGACGCTGGTCTTTTTGTTGTGGGCTAAGATGATAGAGGATGATTTTTGTTATTTTAGCAGACTTCAAAGGCAATGCTTTTTGTCTCCCATTGCTACCTCCACTAAAAAAAAAAAAAACAAACAAACCTGAAATATATTAAATCAAGGAAATGCTTCTTTCAAAATGGCACCTTAAATGGCCGTGCACCACACACAGAGATCCCAGAGTGTGAAAGAATTCTGTCCCATCCCCCAAAGAGATAGCGTTCCACATCTACTCACCTGCCTTCCTGGCTTTGAAAGCAATGACGGCAGCTAGTTCCCTCTGAACCTAAAGTTGCACAAGAGAAAACAGCGAAATTACAAAGAGGTGAACTTTTAACAGCACATTTCCTGTTACGTCATGAGAGAGTCTGCTTGGACAACACAGCTGTTCCTTTCAGCCACAGGGGTTTGGGTTATTTGTTGTGTTTTTTAGTTCTATTGACCAATTCTGTTTGTGAATTTTTAGGCCAGGAATATGAATGTCTTGTTGATTTTAGGAAAAATAATATTAATAGTTATCATTTAGGTAGTGCTGGACATGAGTTAACTCACTTGAGACTCCCAACACCCCTGTAAGGTAGGTGCTATTATTATCTCCATGTTATAGTTGGGGAAACTAAGTCTGAAAGAGGATAAATTACTTGCCCAGGGTCTCACAGATTGAAAAGGTCTGAGTCAGAATTTGAACTCAGGTTTTCCAATTCCAAATCCAACCCTTTCTCTAGCTGCTGTCTGCTTGTATCTATCTATAGGGCAGGCAACCTTCTCTCCAGAAGGCTGACCCTTTGTCATCGATAAGCTGGAAGAACTAAAAGTCAAGACCATCATATTCCCTAAAGGGCTAAAGGTCAAGGTGATTAATGCCCAGCGGCAGAGGACATGGTCAGAAGATTCGTCGGGATAGCCCTGGTTCTCTCCCCAGTGGAGCTTCTCCTACTGAGGTTCTTTTCCTCCCTTACCCGAACCATTAGCTTCCTGTGAATGGGAAGGATGTGAGAATTTCACTAGAGACCAAACCCCAAATCAACATTTTCAACAGTAATTAAGCTCTTTTAAGCTGAAATGCTAAGGCAGGAATTTGCTAATGACTTTCCCCTTTGGCTTTTGGTTATGGCTAATATATCCATATGCATGTTCAGCAATCTATGAGTGTACTACCCTCCCCTAAGGCATAGCAGCCCCTCCATGACCAGGTAGAAAATCTTCTGGAACTGTCATGGTTGAAAAATTGATCACCCAGCAGACAACCAGATGAGGAACTCCAGGCTTGGTCTGGCTGGTCATTGGTGGACAGACATACCAGGCTAAGGTTGAAACCTTTCTAGCTTGCAAAAGACAGCTCTCAACTGCTGCAGCTTTCAGGAGCCAAAGCTCTCCATGGAGCCACAGCACAGCATGTGTCAGTGGGGCACATACATACACACGTATCTGTGTGCATCTATGGCCAGTAAGGACAGCTGCCATTTATAGAGCTAGTTAGAGTTTGTAAAAGCTTTACAAATATTATCTCATTAGATTTTCACAGTAACCCTGGGAAGTAAACACTATTGTTATCTCCATTTTACAGATGAAAAAACTGAGGTATCAAGTGATAAAAATGACTTGGCCGGGGCTACACAGCCAGTAAGTGTCTGAAGCCAGATTTGAACTCAGGTCTTCCTGACTCCAATTCAGCATTGTACCCACTGAGCCACCTTGCTGCCAATAATCACTGAAAGCATGCAGTTTTCTTTTCCCTTGACAATTTCTGATGGAAATCATTCTAAAGCACATTCAACACCACCTGGCATTCTCAAACAGTCTAGAGTATCGATTAGCCTTCTCTTCATGACTCCAGTTCAGCATGGTGATTTTGGTGACACAGGGGCTAAGAGCGGCTATTTCTGTAGCATTTTAAAGCATCCAAAGTGTTCTGCTACATACTGCCCTTCAATCCTCCCAACAACCAGGTGAGGCGCTACTCTCCCCATTTTACAGACAGGGTAACTGAGCCTCAGAGATGTCAGTGACCCATTAGGGTCTCACTGCTCTCAGAAATAGTAGTCAGGTCTCCACTCAAAATCTAGGGTCCTTTCCACTGTAGCACACATCGCCTCGCCAACACACGCGACTTTGCCCCTAAACGAAATGGTCCCAAACAACTCCACTCCTCCATGTAGCAGCAGTTATCTTCTCCTGTGCAGTAAGCAGCTAATTCTTACTCCACCAGCCTAGTGCATCTTCACTGGCTGCCTCCCTTCTCAGAGCGTGCTCTCTCCTCAGTGTCACCTCTGGGCCTCTTTCCAGTCTCAGCTAAAACCTCTTCTTCTACAAGAAGCCTTTCCCAGTCTCCCCTAGGGGGAGAGCCTTTCCCCTGTCGGTTACCACCAATTTATCCTGACTATCATTATCTAATGTGCACATAGTTTTTTGCCTTTCTTGATATCCTCAGCACTTCACACAGTGCCCGGCACCATAGTAGGTGCTTATTAACTTAGCACAGTGCCTGGCACATAGTAGGCGCTTATCAACTTAACACAGTGCCCGGCACATAGTAGGTGCTTATTAACTTGGCGCAGTGGCAGCACATAGTAGGTGTTTATTAACTTAGCACAGTGCCTGGCACATAGTAGGTGCTTACCAACTTAGTGCAGTGCCCAGCACATAGTAGGTGCTTACTAACTCAGCGCAGTGCCTGGCACATAGTAGGTGCTTGCTGACTTGACTGCTGGCCTGACTCCCTCCTGGACAACTCCTAATCTGCTCTGTACCATCACCCAGAAATCATTGCAAGTCACCAGGAAAATCTCCAAGTTTTTGGAGTGCATCAACTTACTTCACCCAGAATACTGTATGTCTGAGCTTACTTAACATAAGTGGTGGCACTGTCTCCCAGGGAGTCAAGAGAATGGGCCTTGGGACCCCTTGGGATCACAGTGTTCCAGGCTGCTCAGGGACTTGGCTTCACTTTAATTTTCATTTCCACAGGAAGACAAACATTTATTTTTAAAATAAACTCTTAAATTTTTAAAAATAACAACAGAAAGTCTTTCCCCTGGCCTGAGAAGGCTGCTATCAGCACTTTTCCCATCTCTTCAGTCAGTGAGTCAACAAACCTGCTCTGCTCCAGCACCGTCCTCCCCTCCTGCCCTGAGCCCCCCCTGCTCCCCATTCTACCTCTCGGCGTGTTCAATGTCATGGCCCATCGCCCCCTCCTAAGGTTGTCATTCTCCTTGCCACGACCAGTTCTCCCCACCTGGGCCCTCCACCCCATCCCCTCCCACCTCCACCAGCAGCTTGTCCCCGCGATCCCTGCCCCCAAACACGCGCCCTCAGAGAGCCTGCCTGACACCCCCAGCCCCTGAAAGCATCTGACGGCTCGCCTCCCTTTTGTGGCCAAATCCTAGAAGAAGCCGGTCTAAGAGTCTTGCCTCTATTTCCTCACTCCTCCTCACTTCCCAGGCCCCTTGTCATCTGGCTCCTCACTCCACCGAGGTCACTGACACCCGTTAATGACAGGGTCTTTTGACAAGTTTGGTCAGTCCTCATCCTTCTTGACCACTAGAGGGAGCAGCGTATACATAGAGTACTAGACCTTGAATCTGGAAGCCCTGAGTGTGAATCCTACCTCTCACGGTGAGATGGCTTTCAGCCTCACTTTACTCGGCTGTAAATTGGAAATAATAAGAATACCTATCTACATCTCAGGGTTGTTGCGAAAATCAAAGTGTTTGGCAAAGCTTAGAGTGCTAGATTGATACTAATCTTTATTATTATTATTAATCAATAACATTAAGTGCCTACTATGTGTCCGATATTGTGCTAAGCACTGGGGACACAAAAAGAGGCAAAAGTCAGTCCCCGCTGTCCGAGAACTGGTTACTGTCACACATAATCGAGTGTGTGGCTGACTGCTCACCCCGAGTTGTCAGGTTCTGTCTATTCTGCCTCCACAAGACCTCTTGTGTGGGTCTCCGGGGTCCCCTTCTCCCCCCGCCCCCCAGCACTCACACTCACCACCTTTCACCCAGACCACTCTAATCGCCTCTTAGCGAGAGTCAGCTTCTAGTAGTGGGAAGGCTTCCACTGGCTCTCTTTGGCCCTGGGGAGCGGGGCAGGACCAAGAACAGCGGACAGAAGGAGCCAAGAAGCCAGTTTAGACTTCAAGACCTGAAAACCGTCTGAACAATGAGCGCTGCCCCAGAGTGCCCAAGCACCTTCTTGGCAGAGGCAGAGGAGCATTCCTTAGGTATGTTCCAATGGGGCTCCCTGCCATGCAGGGCCAGACCACTCTCCAACCCTGGGATAGTGGAACGGGGTCTCTGACTCCCATCACGTCTCCTCTTACCACTCACACTCCACACAGCTGACAGATCCATAAAGATAAAATGGAGGCTGCCCAAGGCTCTGCCCAAGACGCTTCACTATGCCCCCCATCACTAAAAAGAAAAGAAAGGTGAGAAACAAATCTGGGCTTTCGCCTCACATTTCCCAGGAAATTCGGAAATATTTTTTAAAACCAGATTTCTTCTCTCCTGTCTCTGATTGTGACCCTCGAGACTTTCCCACCTCTGCCCCGAAGACTTCTCATCCTGCTGCCCCTGCCCCCCCGGGGCAGTCTCCTCCTCTCACTGGTCAGTTCCTGCCTGGAGCTTCCATTGAGGAAGTCTCAGAGCATCTCACTCACTTCTCAGCCTCTTCTCCTCTTGACCCTCTCGATCTCCCCACCTTCCCATCTCCCCACTGGTTTTCAGTTCCCTCGAATGCGTTACCTTGCCCCCTACTAGAAGGTCAGCCATGTGAGGGCAGGAACTGTCTCTGTGCTGTAGTCATGCTAGCTAGTATTCTTTTTATTAATTTAATAATAATAGGTGCCATTAGATTGTGAGCTCCTGGAGGGCAGGGACTGCCTCTTTGTGCATGCTGTACCAACACTAGTTATTAATAATAGTAATAGGTGCTCACAATAATAATAATAATTAATGATAGGTGCCATTAGATTGTGAGCTCCTGGAGGGCAGGGACTGCCTCTTTGTGCATGCTGTACCAACACTAGTTACTAATAATAGTAATAGGTGCTCACAATAATAATAATAATTAATGATAGGTGCCATTCGATTGTCAGCTCCTGGAGGGTCTTTTGTTCCTTTTTGGATCCCCTGTGTTTATCACAGTGTCTGGCACATAGGAGGTGCCTAATAAATGTTATTGATTGAAGTGCCAGCACTTAGCACAGTACTTGGCTCACAGTAAGCACGTAATAAATGCCTCACGTGGGAACCGTCAAAGCTGGTGGGTTTATGGAAA